GACACACAGAGAGTCAGAGAAAGAGAGAGCTTTGAGCTGGCTTTCAAACGTCACGAGACATGCGTGACTGCTAATACGTAGTCACGATCGCAAAACACGAAGATTCTTTTCGGTTCCTTTTCGAGAACCAGACGTTATTCTCACGTGCGAAAATACAAATACGGAAGACGTCGCAGGGAGATCTGTTCACCTCGATGTAACCTGATCGTTCCGTGAAATTTGCCGTTTCCTTACTTTAAGTCCATGCGAAAGAGTATGTAGCATGAAATATGCTGTTTCAGCGATCGAATGATTCTCTTACAAGATTCCCGACTCGGTCGATCGTGTAGCTTTGAAGAATCACTGGGATTGGCTTTTCTTCCTATACGAATATGTTCCGTAAAATGAGATTTTTCATACGGGCATGGCACGACCTACTTAGATAAGAAGCACGTCGTAACTATCGTTTTCTGGAGACCGGCGAATCTTATAGGCTTTCACGAACATGCATCGAGAGGAGAAAGCCTCTTCCATCTATCTCTGCTAGGTAACTAAGGCCTAATGGAACGATCTATCTAGTTTGACGGCGCGAGTACGCCGTCGATATCTGAAACAGCGTCAATATCACTCGACATTCTTCACTATTCTATTAAACCGATGAAGTTTTCACGCATCTCGCAATTGTCAAGTCGCGACAATTTTTATTACTCCTTTTTTTCCCGGGTGACTCGAAACTTCATATCCTTGCGATATCCCGTGAAAACAAATATAGTGAGCTCTCTATACCCCACATCGTCGAATTCGCTTCAGATATCGAAGTGAGTCACATCTTTGTTACTTTACACACACAATAAAAAATCTCGTGTCGAAATGTTAAAATTTTCTTGTGTTACCAATTTTTGATTATTACTTCAATGTAAAGTTAACAGGTGATAACAGGTGATAAATTACCACTTTCGCGATGTATTCATGTGTCATATTTCTGTCAACTTAATAACTTAACATTTGTACTTGGACTTTGTCGATTACGGAGATCTCCCAGGTAATTGTTTTGAATAAACTACTTTTTTTCTAACGTGCAACGTTCCGGAATGTAAAACTACTGTCCTTTGTTTGCATAAGCCACCGGAACTGTCGGCAGTAATTTTAATTTGTGTGAATTTTCGTGCGCACACGATCTTTTTCATTTTCCTTGTTTATTTATGTTAATATTGACACATTTTATACGATTTTATTGTTTTTTCTTTGTATTTTCATTATCATATATTTGTATTTTACTGAGGTTAAACTTGAGCAAACAATTTTTCTAATTTTCGCTCGAAAATAACTCTAAACTTCAACCACATAATTTAACACATTGTATTTGTTATCCTAACATTTTGTGTTTAAATCGATATTCAATACGTATAAGTGTTAGGGTAACACATTTTAAACTTCAGCGTCGATTAATAAAGATGTTAATCTTTGCTGAATATTATTGGTGACATATTTTATGTGTTAAAATTTACAGACAAGTTATGTTAATTTTATTCACAGTAGCAGTTATCTTAAAACTTAGGCAATACGAAAGACATGTGCAGCTAGTGCGCAGCAGTGATGTAGTATATAACATTTCATATGTTATTCATATAACATTTCACATTATAAGTATGCCAATTTAATACAAAATTGTTCACTGCATAAGTTAAAATAAGCCATGAAATAAATTTCGACACAAAAAATAATAGAATTTATTAGGACCAAATGACAATATAACGAATAATTTAAGACAAAATAATTAATAGTATGTATTGGAAGAAAATATGTTAATGTCAATTTATTAACATTTTCAATTTATGAACAAGTAACACACGACGAATGAGTTATTTCAACTTGAAATTTAGAGTCGACTTTCTGAAACATATAAAAAATGTTAAAATTAAGATTTTGTTACATCTCGCAATGGCGTTCGAAGAAAAGCGCGTATTTCCTACTAATAAATCCCCGGAATAAATCCCTCCTAAATCCTCCGAATAAATTCTAAAAAACTGATCTCACACAACTGGCACACAAGAGCCACTCTTTCTTCTTTCTCATAATTAAGGATCTTGCTAATATCTCCTCTCTGTTCGAGAATGACGACCCCTTTTTCCTCAAACTTCAACCCGCCGCGCAATACGGCGCAGATTAAGCGAACGATCGGCGAATTCTCCCCCTGGATGTAAAAAATATTCACGCGCCTCGGGGGATGATGCTTCGAGCTACGATAACGGTGCCCTTTTCGCTCTTCGCCGCCGTCACCGCGAGTCTTGTTCCCGGTTAACGTTCCTTCAAGCTCAAACGTAAGCAGCGTATATAGCACCGAACGATTTATAGCAGCAATATTCGACAAACCCGCTGTGAAGGAAATAAGGGTGGCCTGATAAAAGGTAGACGGAGTCGGTCGGAGGAGAGATACGCGACATCCCGCGGACGATATCGCGGGCTAACGAGATTCCCATCTATCGCAGATGGTGAATTAAAGACGCTTTCGAGATACAAGCCTCCGGATGCAAGTTACACTGCACAAATTACGGTCAAGCGATTCCAGTTCAACATAGAAACACCCCGGGTGCACACGCTGTATGTTTTGGTTCACCGACATGTGTTGATTTAAAGAGATGTTGATTTAAACGCGCGAACGCGTTTCGATCGATAAAGCGCGCGCGACGGTATCGCGACAACGTCGTTCACCGTGAATCAATCCGGAGGGAATCCAATCGATTCGAATTCGCGGCCACCGCGGCAGATTAATCGCCTGTAATTCGGTGCTACGCCCTAACCGTGCCAGCTGGGCAGGCTGCCTTTACGCGCGCGCATTATCCCGCATTATCTGCCGCTGACGTCCGACGATATCGCAAATTCTCGATCGTCTACGGTACGCTATTATTGCGCCTGGATTTCGGCCATCGCTCGCTAGCCACAGTTGGTTTTCGCATTAGATATTATAATGGACGTGCTCGAGCGTGCGCGCCGCGCAATCCCGCACCCGAGTTAAGGGAGCAAATGCGGTCTTAAAGAGAGCCCGGAATACATTTCCGTAGCGAGAGAAAGAGGAAGAAAGGGAGTTTCAGGGGAACATTAGAGGTTTGTCCGCTGAAGAAATATCCGGACGAAAACTGTCGCCCGAAACTGCAGCGATATCGTATTTTTCGTTGAGCCCATGCTGTCCTTCGCGGATCTTTATGCGGCGCTTACGTAACTCGCCCAAGATCAACATTTTCGGCAAGAATAACCGCGAAAGTAAAAACAAAGTCGGCAAACTCGCATATTTTAAACGGGACGTACGATGCCTTTACACGATTTCATTAAGGTGCCTCGGAATATTTAACGTCACTGCGGGAGAGATACGGAGATGACTCACGCGATCCAGAATTATACGCCGTGTGTGCGAAGAAATCGCCTTCGCACTTTCCGTCGCCCCTTGGCTTGGAAACATGTAATATTAATGAGAAAAATGATAACGACGGAGCTAGTATACTAATTGAATCTGCGTGCTTCTACGATGTGTAACTAACGTCTCGACGCAATGCGTCTCTACGGAATTATAATTTTCTTTTAACTACTATATTTAGTAACTTAAATATTTCAAGAACGGATTAACATTTTTCAGTGATTAAGGTTTTATTTTAATCACGATTTCAGACTGTACATTTTTATATGATACTTGCGATTTTCGAATTTTAAAATCGCTTATTTTATAGTCACTTAGTAAAATCCGAAAATCTTTTCTTTGTTCATTGTCATTGTTGAGGGCAGACAAAAATTTTATTGAGAATAGAATAAAAGTAGTAGTAGTAGTATTCAACATGAAAAATCTTCTAAATCCATTGTTTTCTGACTTCAAAACTACAGCTAATTGAAAATATCGTGGAAAAACATGGTCCAAAGCGGAAATCTGTAATTGGTAGACTTCGATTATCCAATCCTTTACGTTTGACATCTAGGAACTTTCCTTTTCATATTGAGAAAAAAGAAAATTACTCAACAGGTTGCGAAATGCATTGCTTGAACTATTGAAGCGGAAAAATTAGCGAAATAAAAGATCTAGACTCGAATACAAAGAACGTCATGTTCAGTATTATTGTTTGTTTTAAGGCTTATCACACAGAACAGATTTTTAGTGCAATAAAATCATCATTTCGAATAAAAACTTTTCTTTAAAAAATCCCGTTCTAAAAGAATTAAGTAATTAAAATTTTAAAAGAAGAAAGAAAGCAGATATTCCATTGAGGGCTCAAGCCGATAATGTAAATCGTGACGAATAATATCTCAAGACAAATATTGTCGCACGCGCGCAGACACGAGAATACCCGCTACTTCTCGGCGAATAATTTAAATCTCGGGTAACCGGGTAAATCTGACACACCTAACGCGAAGAAATTCGATTTTCGTGGGCTCCGATTCCTCCACGAGAATGGTTCCGCGTCCCCGACGAAGCGCGAATACCGCCAACTGATTCCCGGCGCGTGTTAGTCGTTCGCGCGTTTCAGATCGAAGCTCATGGGCTCCCACCGGCTATCGATTCCTGCTACCTCTCTCTCTCTCTCTCTCCTCTCTTTCTACCTAGCAACGAGCAAGCCAGGTCTATTCCTACTACGACAAACAGTAGGGAAAAATCGCTATCGTTATTCGACACCGGCCGAGAGTTTCGGGCGTTCATACGATATAACGAACCGTTGGCGTACTTGTCAGGGACGACGCACTCCCTGATGGATCGCGTCGCGATCGCGATAGAATTTCAAGCCCGACTGCGTCCTGTCCGTCTCGTGTACCTACGCGCGACAGGATTGAAATACAGCGATGGAGAAATATACCTCTTTCGTTACTCGGTCCATATCCCCGCGGTCGCACCCTCGGATTATATTCTCCCTATCTCGGTTTTCACTTTCGATCTTTTACTGTATGGCTATACGCGAAGGGGACGTGTCGCAGGGCACGAGGTGGAGGCGATAAATGCGAAGATTCAGCTCAAAGGTGGATTCTTTTGCGATCGATTGCAGAACGAGGGGAAATGTCGGCCGAGGCGAGAGCTCGTCGACCTACCATGCCGACGATTCCACACTCCAAGAGGCCCACGATCCTGGTGTATCCGACGGGTAAGAATAGTTGTAATGTTAACTCGACCGAATTACGCCGGAGGCTAATTCTGCGGACGGATACAGAGAGCTGTTTACGCTTTCATTATCGTTATCTCGCGTCGCGTCGATCTCATTTTGTATGTGCGGTATATTAAGTAGTGGGGGGTGTTGTTTAATTGGACACTTGCATGAAGTATCAAATCGTGTTTACGGGTGTGGCAAACTGCGAACGAGTAGCTGAAGGAGGAGGGTGGAATTGGGGAGAGACAGAGAGAGACGCACAGAGACAACGACGCGTAGGTTGAGATAATGTAATTAGTGTCAGCCGTTCGCCTGTTGTGCAAAGTGAATCGCGGGAAACACGAATAAGGCTAAAGGCTGATACAATTAGACAGTGACATTATCAGACTCGGCTTCACCGATTAAAGACTCGGGTTCGATCGCGATAAATCGCCGACACTCGCTTTCACTGATGAATGAATCAGCACACGGAAGCGACTCGAATTGCGGGGGACTCCGTTCCTCCAGTAATTCGGAATCGATTATTTCTTAACGCCGGCTCGAAAGGTCCTTAATTAATGCTTTATTGACATAAAGAGCACGCTTCCGAAGGAGTAAAGTGCTTAGCGTGACGACGAGACGACAGAATCATTTGCGTCATGGCTCGTTCTTTTTCTCTCTCTTTCTTTCTCTATCGGATTAATTACGTTGACGGGAAAACTCACCGGAAAGAAACTTCAGATTTCGCGTAATCCGCAATTGGTACTTCATTCAAATCCCCGACAATACCCCTAATTTGTAACTGCAGAACTGCGCAACGGAAAATAGCGCGAGTTCCTGAAACGCATTCGCGTCATTGATCCGAAAGCAAATCTTATAGTTTCTAAAAGAATGTCGATCTAAAAGCGAATCATTCCATTTCTAAGAAAATACGACAAATACACAATAATCGGAATATCTCATTTTGTGAAGAATATTACAATATTACAAAAAATAATTTTTTTTAAGTAAAAAGTATCACTCTGTGTATATTAATGCCAATAATCTTAATAATAATCTCTCAATCGTAATCATGTTCGAATGTAGAAATAATTAACAAATTAATATTTATCTTCTGATTACTTACGTTGCATGAAATGTAAAAGGAAATCGCGAATAAAGTTACATCTTTACCTTCATTTAAAGTATTATGACAGAAATAAGAAAAGTCGTTCATTTTATCGATTTTTTTTTTTAATGGAGTCTTCGAAAGAAGTTGAAGGTTTCCCTGATGTTTTACACGAAAATATATATTATAGAGAACGAGTTGACTTTTCTATGTATTGTATGCTAAGGAAATAACATTTAATCCAAAAGAAAAGTCCGAGGTTTTTTTATTGGAACGAAGACATTCTATTCTGTTATTTACTGCCTTATATATCGTTTCTCAGCTCGCAAACAGTTTTAATAAAACGATTCCGTCGCAATCGAAGGAACTCGGATTTAAGTTCTCTTCTGTATACGGACAAAAAAGCATCCTCTTTAATCGATATATTCTTCAGCTCGGCCTAATAACTCTCGCTAATTCGTGCGAAGTACTAATCAATTTTGCTCTTGTTAAGCTCTTCAAAATTTCACTTCAACTGACGAACTTCCCGAGTCGAAATTTTGATTCTACGTTAAACTTGTAAGTTCCGTCAAACTTGAAAGACTAGTGGAGAATCTCGAAATATAATACTATATTGTATAAATGGTTATTTATACTGTTGTTTCCTCCAAGTTGAAATTTAATCACTTATGCTGAGATAATTTGCTACGGATTCATCAGTTCCAAGCTAAATAAAAACGCAACAAAAGTAACAGCACAACAGGAAACAAGCTATACGTGCGCGTGACTTGTATCTATCACTTCATAAGAAACTTGTTGTGAAACGACCAAAACTATTTAAAAGATTTTTTAACAATAACAATAACTCTGTGGGAATAATAACTGTTTGAATAAAATCTTAATAAAAGTAAAAAATTTGAATGTCATAATCCATTGCGAAATTCTATGGGCTAATTTTACCAACGTAAGTAATTAAAGAAAAATCTGCTGAAAGTTTCTATAACAGCCCCAGGTCTTCTATTATAAACATTTTTTTTTAGGAAACAAATATAAATATTCTTAATATTTTATAATTACTCTATATTCTTAATTCAATATATAATGTATTATTAATTAAACAATTTATTTAACTGCAGATAGAATATGTACGATAAACCAATATTAAATAATTAATATATAAATAATGAAAATAATAGAAAAGACAAAATACACACTTCATAACTTCATTATTATTTTTTTGGTGTTAAAGGTTTAATGAAATTTTAAGCTCTCAAAGGAGCTGATAAGGAAGAGGCTGTAAAGTCAAAAATAATAGGTTGACGAATAATGGCAGATGCATGAAACTATAATTATTTGTCAGGTAAAGTTATAATTATTTGTCAAATGATGATGGACTATGACTGTTGGCCTAAATTTCGACTCGGGTTCTTATTCTCGATAAGATCATCAAATATCCGTTAAAATTGGATCTCTCCCGGTATAATAATAAATCATTTGACATACCTGGAAATATATGACGTATCGCTATCCGCGTCCCGGCCTCCTGCATCCATCGTCGTGAGCATCCTGGCTCCTAGTTACCTCGATGTGGCACACCGGATACGTACACATGGCACCGACACTGACACTCGCGTAGATACGATTCGATCGGAGAAACGCATGTTAAAGAACATGATTTCGTCGACGAAAACTTGATCAAATATTTTAAGTCGACGGAAACGATAAATATCTCGCCGACACATTTGTTTTGCATTGCGATGTATGTACGTCACCCGTCGACTCGATACGTAATGACACGGTCACAGAAAGGTACACGATATACGCGAGTGCCAAAACAATCGACGGTAAACAACACCGGCAGAATCAATACATATTATCAACATATTAAGAGCTTTCAAAACGGCCAAAGCTATTATAGAGTGATACGTATTGGAGATATTTCGCCCGTAGCATTTGATGACCATAATCGATTAATATGATTACTAATTAACGTTGCGTTTCCGATCGAATCGTAGTTTCGTGTGGGACCATTGAGTGCCTCGCTCCAATGACAACCGAAAGCCGACTCCAGGACGGAATACAGGATGCGAGATGCAGCGACAGTCGATGACAAGGCTTTCTCCTCCTCTTTTTAATCATCCATTTTGAGTCCCTAAGTCCTATAAAAATTTTCAACGTTCATCAAAATAAAGTAATAAAGAAGTTGTGAGAGAATGGTTGTTATCTTACTTACCTCCATTTTCCTGCTAATTTTTATTTGTTTATTAGATTATTCGATTATCTAATATTTGCTTATCGCATACATACTCTATTTGCAGTTAAATAAATTATGTGATATTGATATATTTCTTATCAAAAATAAAAATAAAGATAAAGATTAATATGGGTAGAATATTAAGATAATGAAATATTAAATAATTCTTAAATATGATTTTCTTAAAATCTCAGCATAGAGAAAATCACATGGTATAAGTAATCATGTGTAGTGTAAAAGATAACAGTCTATATAATGTTATCTCGAGATTTTCCATTGTTCCTTCAATTTAATGGAATTTATGCAGGGTCAATATAAAATCCTAATTTCGATGCAGGTTTCAAGAAAGAGCTACTTTTTTTTTTTTAATAAAAAATATGGAAGCTCTTTGTGATTTTTAATATACGAATCACCTACTTTGCAGGTTGTGTGGCGTATATATTATACACACACAGGCATTATTAAAATATATATTTTATTAAATACACTTTATTCAAAACATGCTATATAAAAAATAGATAATTGGAGAACAAAAGTAATAATGGAAATATGCATAAGATAAACTCGGACGCTTACATATATATAGATAAAGATTTTTTTTCATTTTTTTAATTATTGATAACAGAGCGGTTATAGAATTTAGTCAGCGACGAGTGAAATTCATTTTCGTTCGAGAACTGTTCGATCGTACAGCTTTGATAAACTTGACACAAGTTTGCCCACGCTGTTAAAGTGATTCGAAATATGTTTGTAACAACGGGATTTTTGGAAAAATAGCGTGCCATCGGTCGCAGGTTTTCAATTGTCGAGAACATCTCCGCATTAAATAAACTCGTTAAAATGACTCGTCAGGAAACGTCGCTGATGCCCTCGAGAGCTTTGACTTTCGTCAAGGGAGAAGAGGATATACTGTACTTGCAGGCCAATTATGTATGCGTAATAGAATAGCTTAATAGAATGGAATTAACGCCAGTTAAATCTCGCGTCGCGTCTTTCAGTTACACCGGAGAGTATAATCATACCCATCGTGTCCTGCATTCTGGGATTTCCATTGCTGGCGTTAATGGTAATTTGCTGCCTACGGAGGCGAGCGAAACTCGCCAGGGAGCGAGCCCGGCGAAGAAACTGTGATTTGGATCATGGCGCACTGAGCCTCGTCCGTTTCAGCCCGGTTCATCGTGTAGGTGAGTAGGAAGTTTAAAAGTGAAACTAGGACACGCGGCGCACGCGGAACGGATATTTACCGTATGAATAGAGACGAAAATCGCTCGCGTAAAATTAAATAAATGCAGCTAACTGGCTGTGATAGAACGTGGCAAATCAGCTACGGGAAAATTGCTAGATTGCGATGAGATTATATTCGGATCTCCCTCATATTTCAACCTGATAAATATATAGCCCATGTATATTCCAAGCATTTTACAAAAACAAAGATTAAAATATATATTTGAATCCCACATTAATAATCCTGATAATAATCCCGTATGCATATTTATAAATATAATTTTCATACATACGTCTTTCTTTCAGAATATATTATCTAGCACTACACATGCGTAAAAACATTCCGCGTTACATGAATTTTCAATATTTATTGCGGCATGACGGTGCGTATAGCTTTTCAAGCCAGCAATTTAAATCACATTTATAAATAACGCAGGAAATATAAAGTACATCAACGCGTTTGCTCCTTTTTTTTTTCTTCGTTTCGATAATGGCTGCGTTGTTTCTCTCCCGATATTTTTCCCCTCGGATTCTTGATTGACCGAATGCACGCGCACACACCCACACATACAAATATTCTCCGAGGACACGCAAATGGATTCATACATAGATGTATGTACGTTCGTGTGTACGCGACTATTGGAATAAATATAAAGAAGGCGGAAGAGGCACTAAAACAGATTGCATCCCAGTCTGCATATTCGAATTCAATGTTCATGTACTGACAGTGATTATTTTTAGCTTGGAACTGGTAGAAGCGCGTTTGGACGGCCGATCGTATCTATCCGATAACGTTCGAAAAATTCTCGATTAAATGCTGCATCTGCTATCTCTTCCGCCCTTTCCGGCTCGTAGTAACTCCGACATTATGAAATTCATTACGTTCGAAGCACGGGATACGCGTACACGAGATATTATTCCCGGATTTACAGATTCCCGGAGATACAGATCGAAAGTGCGCGAGAATAAAATTGTAGCCCGACGATGAAATGTTCCATCGCGCCTGAAACTCTCCTTTAAATTGGGGAACGGGATTGCGCGGCGAGAATCGGCGCGCTAAATGGATTCTGCACGACACGCCGGAATAAATCTCTCTAACCCGGAAAATCTCGCGGCCTCTCCACGGTATCGCGGCGAAATGGATCTGTCGTATGGTGATATCAAAAATAGGATCGTATGTTGCGCTTGATAATCTATTTCCGCGGAGCGCGCCGTATAAAATACGTTGCTTCGGAGCACCATTTTTCTCGTAATCGTGCCGTGACGTCTCACCCGCGTGTGTACGGATTTTACATACGCGTGTATACGTATACACTTCCGCATACGGCCGGAAATCAGTATCGTGGATGGTCGAATTATTATCCTGTCATCTGAATGTTCATCTCCGCGTGTAAAATTCACTTTGTGAACAGGAAAGAACTTTATGTTAGTCAAACAGTGGTTTTTCATTGCAACAAGGAGAGAGTCAACAACGATGTTAGGCCGAAATACGATACGAACGCCGTTAGGGGAGCATTCGCAAACTCTAATACACCCACCAACTTTAGCCATTTACATATTGTTTACGGGGCTATCAATAAACGATCATATAGCTCGATGAGCAAATTCATTCGCTTTATTATCAAATTGCTTGCATAAATTGCTGTGACGGTCGAAATTAATGCCGCGTGTATTGTATGAATAATTTGTGTAATTCAGAATACGATTACTCTTTATGGTATGACGTGAATGGCCGCTTTTGATAGACGGCGCTGAAATCTTTATGAGCCGTGAATTTGAATCAACGATAACCGAAAATATTTATTTAGCACCGAACCAATTAATGAAACGCGCTGGACGTAATAATTACGTATTTGCACAAATGAAATTTTATTAGACATCGTCGATAATATCGATGAAATTTATTGATAACAGCGACGCACGTAAAAGAAACATTCGGATTGAAAGTATAATTTTAAAACGTAAAGTGTCGAAATAAAATCCTGGTATCTTTACATCGAATTTATTCGTATTGTTATTTCGCAATTGGATTATATATCTCTAAATTCAACTAAAACGAGTCAAAGACAATAATAGCGCATTCTTGCTATGAATATTTCAATGTCACGTATAATAAAAATATTAAAAGACGAATAGCAAAAATAGAAGAAAAAACATGGAATAATGTTAAAGTCGCGCGAAGCACGCGAGAAATTCTCAACGGCATTCGGATGAGTACCTCGTAACTCGTTACGGTGAATGTCGAGGGGCACGCGAAAGAAGAAAGAATAAGGAGGCTGGGCAACGTACCTCCGAAAGGCGGATTTATTTCTTGCACGTACTACTAAGCACGGTCGGCCGCTCTCCTCTCTCTTTCTCTGGCAAAAAAGTTTTTTTATGTTCCCACCGCAGAGAAACCATCGTATGCGGCGCTGTGTCCACTACGAACGCCGCGAGGCCTCGATTTACGACAATCGAGAGCCAGTAGACGGTCGTTTAGGGTCACTGTCTGGTGCACATAATAGTCCAAGTACGAAATTTATCGTTCGAAACTAACGGCGGTCGGGCATTGTCGGTAGAACGCAAAAAGCGAATATATTATATGAGTATCACGCGAATAGAATGCGCCAATATTCGACTATCCGCTGAATTTTCCAACGACAAGCAAAGTATCGTCCATATATCGCGGTTATCGTATAACACAGCACGCTGCACTCGGTTTCCTTTCGTTCAAGCATGCATTTCATGATCCCGGAATTTATTCCGGCCGATGACAGTTGCAAATTAGCCGCGCATCGATAGAATACGGGCGAGAAATATCAGCGAAAGGTATTAAATAATATCCCAGATAGCACATGTTAATTTCGTATACGTTCTTTAAAAGTATGTAAAATATCATGTTTCATAATCGTATTACATACGTTTAAAGAATATGTATAAAATTAACTGCTACCTGTGAGATAAAGATCAATTCCACTTAATTAATTATTTTAACAATCGAATCATCCAATTATACGCACGCGCATTTGAAGGGGAATTCAATTTCACGAGGCAAACGCCTGCAAAATTCGATATATTTAAATTCAACCAAGGAAAATATGAAATCTGATGTATTTTATATGAAACCCATTATACGACACAATGCATGTATTCTTCAAGTAAAACCGTATTCAGAAAAAGTTAATCTCCTCATTGAAAAACATCGCTCACGTTCGTTTGTTGTTGGCAAACGCAGCATCGAGAGAGGACTTAGGTAAAATATGACGTAGTTATAGTTTCGTTTCTAGCAGTCTGTGCCCGGATATGCATTTCTCTCGCGGAAATTAGCATTTTTTTTCTTCCTTCTTTTTACCGATCATCATGTTCCTTCGTATTATTTACAAACGCGAACGTTACGTTGGTTGCATCGTGCTGTAGGATATAATTAAGATCAAGTTAGAAATTAATTAAATTTGTGCGAGAATGTTGATGAAATGCAAGCTCATACAATAAGGTCAAATTTGTATGCACTGCAAAATATTTAAATAGATGGCTGAGCGCATCGAGGGAAGAGGAGCACCCTTCGTTACATTTTCCTTTTTTATTTCGCGAAAATGAAAATCTCACCGGCGCTACGTTTTCTTACGGTTTGCTCTCGCAAGAAAAGAAAAATCATGGCAAATCAGATTTGCATGGTTCGTTTGCATAAATTAGCTTCGCCAGTGTAGGAATCTTAGATTCTCCTAGTTGATTTAAGTAGAAAATTCCAGCATCGGAAGTTTCTCGATCGACGTATTGGCAGATTGAATCTCTGCCGGTAGATATAGATATAGATATAGATCTTCCAAGAATTTTAATATATATCGCTCGCTAGAGAGCAGAGCGAACGCGATGAATAACAAGACGAATGTTTTTTATGTCCTACTGCGTCAAACGCATTCGCGCGCCACTGTTAACTGTTACTGCCACTGTTACTGCAACGGATGTTAACCCTTTCATTGCTGGACCGAATATAGGTTAAGGATGCTCACATTCTTTACTGAATATATTTAAACTTGCGACGTATATTCAAGTATAAACGACGAAAAATTTTTCCTTTCTCAAATCGCAAATGTCATTTCATTCGTTACAAAACAAATTAATCGAATTAGCAAACGGCATCTTTGAATTTGACGTGATCAGTATCCTGGCTTTCTAACGGTTAACCTCACCTTAGATGAATCATAACTCGCAACAGAATTCGTGATAAAATTTTCTATTTATAATAATATACCATGCAAATACAAAGAACATTTGAAGACGTAAATGTATATGTACGTAGGTGTGTGTGTGCGCGCGCGCGCGCGCGTGTGTGTGTATGTGTGTGCGGGCGTGCGTGCGTGTGCATGCACCTACGTATAACCGTACTTCTGTACTGTAATTCTGATTCATCGTATGCTTTCATATAAATGCAGTTCTGTCGAGTATAATGAGTCGTCTAAAATGAATATCAATCGCGAGATGAGCCTGTTTATTTCGAAAAAAACATGCATTACATACGGTATTTCGGCCGTTATACCTTGCACCGTTAAATTCGTTGACGATATGGCGCGAATGCGTTTGGGAAAAATTGATCGAATTAACCATAACGACGTTCAATCACTTACCAACATGATGTTCTCGCAGCTGGTGTGGATCGCCAAACGCGCACCGTGTCCTTACGAAGCGAACGAGGATCGCGAGCCTTTCCGTCCCTGGAACTGGATACGGTCGTCGAGGAACGTTCGGATCCTGAGCAAAGTACTGCGCTGGAACTCAGTAGTCCAGATTAGCATCCGGCACCGGCACCGTCAAGGTAATGGCGCCAGTCGCGAGTTTAGAACATTTTGCCGTCGCAGAGAGTTATGGGTACTTCCACTTGGGTGTAGAGTGCTACGCTTCTTGCACCTAAACAAAAACGAAATAAATATTTTATTTTATTTTACTTATTTAAAATTTAACAAATAAGAAAGGGAGATAAGAAAGAAGATAAGAATAAGAGAGTAAGAGAGAAGATAAGAAAGAAAAGGGCTGTATCGGAAAACATGAAAAGCTCGATTATAGAGATTATACATGAAAATTTGACCAATAGAATACTGACTTTTTCCGCAAAGTTTACGTTTTATTGGTTCCACAGAATTACAAATACTTCTCAAACATTTCAAATAGCGAAAATACGTACGAAAATCAATTGGAGCATTATATCCAATATGTAATAATTAAAAATATCAAAACTGAAAACTCGATTCTATCAAATAGAGTAAACGTTAACCTAAAATAAAAATGTTGCAAACTTATACATATCCAGTGCGTTTGTTGCAATGAGGAAAATTTCTGAGAACATTTGTATATCTTTACAATTGTACATAACAGATCTCAAATATATGCGGTACGTTTCAAAGATATGTAGAATGATTTCGTATTTCACACCACCCAGTCGAGAGAGCGAAAATATTGGAATATGGAAAAACTGTATCTAACAAGTCTACTTGTATCTTGAGTACAATAATAGAGCGCTATTTTCGGTTCCAGCAGGTCGCCGCGACCATCAAAATCCTTGGCGGTGCCATTGCCTGTGGATCACAGCCCATTGTGGACGGCTTTGACGCACGCTAACGCGGTCTCCGCGGCGTTGGGGGATACCTAGCAGGAGGCGAAAGACGGCAGCTATATCGAGGCTCTCGTCCTAGATCTGCCAATCATTTACTGACCGGCCATTCCTTCCGAAAACGGAGGCCATGACATGGGAATATCAGGGGAAGGCCAAACACTATCATGCGCGATAACGACGTGATTAATACGTAACATTTCGTCGAGAGAGTGAAAGAAATAAACTTTAAGCGACAAAACGGCATACATATGTCGACGGAGCATCGCGCGTTTCTAACGTGCTTCTTCTATTTCAACGTGCCATCGTGACGCACGTGGAATTTTATACTACTTAGTTATTACTCGTAAGCACGGCTTTTTACACGATAGTCGTAAACCCGAACGTACGCAGCCGTAGGAAGTAACTGGTCTACGAATGGGTCGATGTGAATAAAGATTCGTTCATGTACAAATGAAAATTGGAATTATACAAATAAAGTATTATTCGTATCTGTATTATATACAGGGCGACATTGTACACAGGTGTGTTGTTCATTGAGAATTCGTCTAAATATCCTAACTATCCCATTTCTTTTCTCCTATTTATAGAATAGTCGGCTTCTTTCTACTATTGTGTCTCTTTACATTAAATCTGTAGACAATATGTCTTTCAATAAAGGATACTAGTATCAAAAAGTAGACAAATTCCAATGATCTTATGTAAATCTTAATTAAAAATGAAATTTGTACACATTTGTGTGAAATAAAATCTTAATAAATGTAACAAACGTCAGTTCTGTACATGTATTTTATAAGGAAATTCTGCTAGTTGGCACATATGTAAGTTTTATCTTAATAAAAAAAAATGTTATTAAATAAAAATTACACAAAATGAGTCTGTTGCATAAATTATAATTATGTGGAAAATTCAGTGCTTAGAATCCAGGTATTACACGTCCTTTTTTTGCGGCTTTCTTTAATTTATTCAGCTTCTTTTCCTTTTTCCTCTTCATGATATTTTCTCTTCGTTTGTCTTGCCTCTCCTGTTTGGATTTCTGCACATTCTCTAACCTGGCATCCCATTTCTTTGCGCTTTGTTTCTTCTTTTTTTCTCTTCGTTTTATACTTCGTTTCAACAGTTCTGGATCATCTTTAACCTGTCAAGAAAAATAACTGTGTTAAAACTACATTAATACATAACAGATATATACATAACAAGAGAAAGAGCAGTAGATAAGAATGACAAATTTATAGTATGTAACTTAATGTTACTTACGTAGTATGTAACTCAAAACTGAGTACATTATCTTTTACTCAAATAAAACAAAATCAATGTAAATATAGTAGTACAATAAAATTATAGCGATATATAAATGAAAATAGAATAATCTCATTATGTCAGATATCAACAGTACCAGAAAAAAGATTTTTCTTTATATCAAATAAATATAATTAACAAAAACATACTTTTTCACCATTTGCTTTTGCCAATGCAGCTTTCCATGCATCTTTTTCTTTAATTTCTTCTATTTTCTCTTTATCGCCGGACTCTTCTAATTGCTTTAACTTTTCTTTCTTCTCCTCTAGTTGTTGTAAAATCTTCTTAGGATTATTTTCACTTTTGGGCAATTTCTTCTTCATGCCAATCTCGGAGAAATCAAACTTGCTGAATACCATTTTACCTTGCGAATTAAATACTGGTTTTGGCTTAGGAATTTTTGGTACTTCTGTATCATCGGTATTTATTTCGCTAGATCCAGCAGCATTATGTTCAGTCCTAGAGAGTTTCTTTTGCAGCATACGTTCTTCTTTCTTTAATTTCTTCTTGATCCTGTTCTTTAATTTTTTCTTAAGAAGCTTCTGTTTATAATCCAGCTTCTTTACACCTGTCAATCCCTCCAGCCTTGTATGTAAATCTTCAAAAGTTTTTGCCTTTTTTGCTTTTTTACCTGGTACTGTGACCATCTTAACTGTAATAGAAATGTATATACATATAAATCACACATTGTTGTAGGATAAATCTTAAAGAAAAAAATATATATCATATTAATTATGGATAAATGTAAAAAATAGTAACCTTGTTCTGTTGATTTCTTCTCTTCCGAGGGTAGACAATTTTGTTTCACTATAATATAGAAAAACCAACTTAACTTAATTAACCTATAAATACAACTGTTAAAATACTGAAGTTATAGTATTAATTTGAAGAGATACACTCACCTAATTCGTGTTTCGGTAACGGCATTATGGCGAAAATATCTGCGAGAAATTTGTCTTCTTCTAATAACATTTGGCGTACTGCCTTTTTGTCGAATTTCGCTTCTGACATCGTTAACTGCATTTCTTTTACAACACACGTGTATTCAAAACGTTAAAAGAATGTAAATATCCTTCACATATCTTAGGTTATGTTTGGTTATACTATCGACAAATGGTAATCGATGCTTGAATTATTTTCGAGTCGAATTTATATATTCCCTAGGTCGATAAATTTTTAATGTCAACTTTAAAATGAAAATTCATTGTTAAATCTTACTGTATGTACATGTTTTATTTCAAATGCCTTGAAATTATTCTATATTGATTTTTTTTTAATTTGGCAATGTAATTGTCACATCAAGTCAAAAGAAAACTTTATCTTTTATCAGTAGAGTTTATTCTTTTGAGTTAAATTTCTTTATTGTAACAAATTAATAGTACAGCGTTATTTTACAGAAATGCATGCGTCCTAGCACTCTAAGAATTAACCTCACTTTGGATTATTTATATCTTACAACAGAATTCGTAATTCAAATTTATTTGTAATTTCTTATATCGTGCAAATACACAAAAAACGTTTCATAATGTATTATTTATGTATGATATATGTTATGTACTTACGCATAACCGTACTTCTACACTGTAATTCTAATTAATTGTATGCTTCTATATAAATATAGTTCTGTTGTGAATAATGAATCGTCTAAAATGAACATAAATCGTGAGATGATGCTATTTATTTTGAAAAAAAGAAAAAAATTACCTAGCATTTTAGCTGTTATGCCTCGCACCGTTTTAATCTTTGTCAAACATAGCGCGAATGTGTTTGCGTAAAAATTGACGAAATTAACCATAACAACGTTCGATCACTCACCGACATAATGTTCCCGCAGCTAGTATGAATCGCCAAACGAACACCGTGTCCTGACGAAGCGAACAAGGATCATAAACCTTCTGTCCCAGGAACTGAGTACGGTCGTCGAGGAACATTCAGATCTCGATCTAAGTATCGCGTTGGAATTGAATAGTCCGGATTTGCATTCGGTTTTGGCACTGTCGAAATAATGGCGCCAATCGCGAGTTTAGAACATTTCCGCCAAAGCGAGTTTTGGTACTTGCACTTAAGTGTAAAGTACTACACTTTTTGCACTTAAACAAATAAAATTGATATACATTTAAAATTTAACAGATAAAAGAAAGGGAAAATAAGAGGGAAAAAGATTGTCTCGGAAAAAAACGGAAAGCGCAATTAAAATGAAAGGCTTTGAATATATTCGATACATTTCAGTTAAACGCAGGTGACGTATCAAACAATCATACAAAGTGGTATCAAGTAAAACACCGACGAATAAGATGAAAGATTATCAGCCCTAGGTAAAGTTTTCTAAAAATAAAAGGGTTTTGAGGAACCTAGAAGTAATTAAAGAAGAATGACATTACTAATTTTTTTCAATCATTCGATATATTCATTCGATATAAATACCTGGACATTAATATATAATGAAGTATTAATTTTATAATAATATAATACAGCAAAATTACATTGAAAAGTATTTGGTCGATGTTCGAACGTTTCATTTAATTTTGTTTAGTATTCTAGATATTAATTATTAAATCTCGTACCTTAATTTCGGTCAATAGTTTCAGTACAACATCGTTGAGTGGCGCCAGGCAATCCAATTGCTGCTCGGGTTGTTTTTCGCCGCGCCACTAGATGACGCCAGGTGTTTTGTCGGTCACTGACGTCTTGGAAACTGCACTTGGCCAAATAGGATTTGTCCTTCGTAATCTCCATGTATACCTTTCTAATAAAAAAAGAAGCTTGCATTCCAAAGCTTAGCATTGATTGCAATTTCCTAAAGTAGATATAAAAAGAAAAGTCATGACCATGTTTGTTCATGTCGACGCTGTATTTTACGAAAATCACTTTCGACACAATTCTTCCATAGTTTACTTTTTGGTTTGCATCTTCATGTAAATTCCTACACTGAGAAAAGAAATCTAAAAAATAAAAATATTCAGTGAGTAATGACATATATTAATTTAAATCTAGTATTGTTACTTTTTCGGAAAAATTAAATTCGGCGAAAAAAATCGAAAAAACATTTCTATTTTTCGGCGGAAAACATTGTTTGGGGAAAATTAATTTTTGACGTAACAAAACTGTTATAGTCGTTTTCAAAGCAAACGTAAATTTCTTGTGTTCTTGTGTTCTTCCGAAACAAAACATGTTTCTTTCCATTTTCTCCGTCGAGTTTAATTTTTCCGGAAAAATAATAATACTATTTCAATCTAAATTCAGCAAACTACAAATATATGATTTTCGCAGCATAACTTTCACGTGGCAAGTAAAAGGGAGAATGTTAGATGGTAAATAAATAAAATTAACAAAAGAATATTAACAATAAAAAAGACAAGCCAAAATGTTGAAATTCAACCGAACCGTAGAAAATATCATGAAAAAAATGCCGTAGTAGTGCCGATTAGTGCTGAAAATACCCAATATTCGAGTGCAAAATAGTGGTCAACGTCGCTTCTACAGTTCGCTAAGAACTTTTTCTTTTAATCGATTCTAAGCAGCTCTCGGCTACATATCGAAAGCAATTGTCGGTTTCCTTATTTTATGACGGGTTTTGAAAATGAAGGTGGCTTAATTTCAACACAATACCAAACGATGCTAGTTCTCTTTTTCCTTCAATGTTATCTATAGTCATCAGTTTCCTCGGATTTTATTTGGATTAATTGAACGAACAATGCTTTTGGGCTTTGGGGTCTTGTCGACTTGATTTGGCTTCAAGCGCTCTACTGAAGAGATATAGATTTCTGAAGATTTTATTATTTATGAGAAAATATATATATTCAGTTTTAGAAGCGCTGAGATATTCATAAGTGACCCAAGTAGGTGACCCAAATAAGTGTTTCAAAACCTTGTAGATCGTCTTTCATTAAGTCGTCATATTCGGTACGTAGTCGTTTTCTTCAATTCAATCACATATCCGAGCTGATTTTTTATATACTTAGAGGAATAATCCTAACCAGATAATTGCATATCCAACAGTAGCTACGAAAACTTGTCATTCACATATAATCTAGTGGGAATGATCACTGAGAAGCATCAGACCACCGACTTTAGCTACGTTCGAATGTTTTTATAAAGAGTACACTGGTAGAAGAAAGCTGGCGAGAAAGCTCGGTCAAGTGTATACAAGAGAAACACATTTGTCGAATCGTGTCTTTATAGTTGCTTTATGTTCGACAAAAAAATAGGAGTGTAAACATTAGGAAAAGATTTATACATAAATCATATAATTCATGAAAAACAATAAAAATCGACAGTTTTAACAAAGGATATTCAACGCATTATTAGCCTAGCGGTATTCAAAGTAAACGATTTCACAAAAGCCGATAATCACAGAGAGCTCAAGGTAATCACTATGAGTCTTTGTTGATATGGACTGTTTACTTGGCTATATTTTTACCTATACTTATTGCTTCCTGCTTTATTAGATATGTATCTTACTATAATAAAATTGATGATTTATCGTAAATTAAGTATTCTAATCTTATGATTAGATTTAATTAAGTATTCTAATCTTAGGATTTCACGCAACTGTGTAATTTTTACGAGGTTCTCGAGAAGGCTGACATACACTCGTGGGAAATAAATGAATAAATGAATGACCCTTACGAAAAATAAATGATAAATGCATCGCTGTATGAAAGCACAATAATTGCGCTACGAGAAAATTCCAACATTACAATTGAATGCGTAACGATGATTTAAGATTTTTAATATAATGAGTAGCAAGGTAAATAAGATAATAAATTGTAAAACAATGCTGATCGATAAAATCTTGCAAAACTTCGCAAATTGCTCCATTCACTTCAATAAATTCAAGCATGTTCTTTATAGACTTATGAATAACTTAAAATATTATTGTTATTCCTAACATGAAATAAATATAAATATTTGTAATTAACTTGTACATATTTTCTATTATATCCTGCTAATATATAATTTTATATAAATATAAAACAATATATATAATCGTGATAATCGTAAATATAAAAATATAATATTATGTATATATAATGTATAATATAATATTCGTCTTTCTACACTGTTTTGCGAAGAATTTGCTTGTAACGGATAAGAAGATGCAATAAATGCGGAATGATCGCAATTCGAATTCGTGCTACTCCGAGACGAAATTGCCGCGAAGACGTGACGTCACACATCGCATCTGATTGGAGAATCGCCGTTGTACGCCACAATACGCAGTTACACGACGAGACGCAACGCGCCAATTCGGATTCGATAAGCCGTTCCGTATTCTTTGCGATTTCGGCTCGACAGACGCGAGTCTCGTTGAATTTTCGTCGTGAATACTGACGGTAAGGGTCATACGTTTGTTATGCCGACGTACACATAAGCAGCTGCCGAAATCGCACATCTCGCAGTACGGATCACTGAGAATGCCGAATGAGGTTACGAGGTTACGAGAGCTCGTCGTCTCACGGAATGCAAATTTTTCGATCCGCTGGAAAAAAGTAGATACGTGAATTATTTTAGACTATGCTGTAAATAAGCCACATGCATGTATCGTGGCGACATATCCACTTAAAGTGGACATATCTATCGTGTAACGGTTGTCGAAAGTACCGAGTGAAGTTGCATGCGTTTTGATATTTCGATAATCGCAATCGCCGTTCGGTCAGTTGCGGAACGGATCGCGTCGTTGTGGTATGTAGCATTTAAAGTCGTTCTGCATTTTTCGCGATTTCAGCTCGTCGAAAGAGAACCTCGCGCTCGAATCATCGTTGGGAGTGTCGGAAGTAAGTTTCGCGCTTTTGTGGTAGCGAAGTATCGTTAAATCAACGTGAATTTCTCATGAAACGGTCCGTCGGGAATGTCGAGCAAAATCGCCCGTTCGCCGCATAATTGTAGATTATGCACTATTTAAGGAGGTTTGAGAGGTTTGATCAAATAAGATAAATCTGTAATATATACATGATACAAAATTTAATCGAACATGCGTACTGACAGTGCGTAATGAAAATTTCGATGATCTTTACCGTATTTTCCGAAATATTTAATTATAAACTTGTATGTTTTATTCCATTATTATAGCTTATTCTATAAGCTCATAAGAGGTCTGTTCGTTTTTGCTGCACCGCCGAACTAGTGCAATAAGTTGAAGTGAGAAAACATATATTTGTCTCTCTTTAACTTATTTTAGTTCAGCGGTGCAGCGAAAACGAACAGACCTAAGATGATATATTCCTTCTAACTTTATAATATATTTATGTATAAGATAGAAATTTAGAAAATAGTTATAATATTAAAGACTAGTTACATAGATATTACAAATAAATTTCAGAATTATTGACCGTTTTGAAAATACAGTAGTGGAAAGTTTATATAATTAATAGTAATATTCGAAATACGTATATATTCATATGCACATATTTTACTTATATATATGTGCACACATTTATATACCCTTTTCAATTATCTGTGCTCTATTAGATTAATACATAAATATAGCATTAATAATAAAAATAAAAAATAATAATATTTTTCTGTTTGTAATATTATATGTATATTTATTTCAGTTTTACTTCAAATTAACATTTATTAGTTAGGTTAGATAGTGGAATAAACGTATAGGACTGTAATTTTACCTGATAAATACCAAATTTAGGATTGTTGCTCCCCCTTGTTGCTCCACTAAAAATACACCAAGTCTCACAACCTCCTTAAACAATACTTTGCATTTTTCATCTATCGAAATTCGAAAGTAGTCTGTGGCTCGTGAATTATGTCGGGAATGTCGAAAGTGAGCGGCACGCGTAAAATATTGTAAAACGATTGCGGAAAACGAGTATCTCCCAAAACGGATCACAGGGAGTACCGAGCGAAGTATGCCCGTCGTTTTTTTTTTTTTTTCAAGAAACACCGCTATGATAATCACATGGCAGAACGGTTCGCGGCAGTTCGGATTCGACAAATTGTTCCGTATTTTTCACAATCTCGACTCGTCAGAAATGATCCTTTCGCGAGTTATCGTCATCGGAAGTGTCCAAAGTGAATAAGAAAGTGAAATCTCGAAACGAGATCGAGGATACTGAGCGGATCGCCGTGCAATCCCCATACAGTAATGGCAGTCCGGAGTTCGAATCGCTGGATTTTTTGGAACCGTCGAAGGAGAAGTCGGTAAGTGTCGATAGAGCAGTGGCTACCACGAATTGTGTGCCTGCGACTTTCACAGGTACAATCGCGTAAGTTTTATATTCGTGAATGATTAAAGGTCGACGAACTTAAAAAAGTTGCCGTGACTGCCAATACTTGAACGATTAACCTACAATATTAACCTTACGATTTATTACTATTCGAATGTAAATTTCATGGAAACACACACGTATATACGACGTGATAATATATTATTTCCGAGAATTGCACTTTCATAACACGCCGCACGAATGGTAATTCGTGTAATCAATATTATTATATATCGTATAGACAATTGTATCAAGCACGATCGAAACAGTCGGTAATGTCAGTGCTCTCCAAATATCTTTGGGCCTCCTGGGGTCCCATTACGGCAGCGACGAAACTTTCCCCGAGGCGAACGGTCTTTAATAGCACCTCGTTGACACAGTTGTTCGCGAGAAGTCTCTAAAACGAGCACGAATGTAGATCTGTACGTGGAAATATCGCGTAAAGCGCGCACCCAAATCCCTGTCCTGCGTAGTGCGCTGCTTCACGCCAGAAAAAGTATCGCACAATCACGAAAATATTATCGTCCGCGTGTGTGTTTACTCGATCCTTTACCGTCGGCCGAAGACCGCGCAAAGTTGCCGGCGGATCGGCGCACGCGCTCGCGATTTCAAACGCCCCACCATCGTAGGCGCGCCTCGGCGCACATTTTGTCTCACGCTCCGGCTAGTGCGTGTCGTGCGGTACTGAGAGACGGTTCTCGGGGTCCCTTTCGGTTCAGGCGGTTTCTCACGATCGCTCTTCTACTAAGCGTCGTTGACTCGGCATATTTATCGGGTCGCGACAATTGATCGCGTCAGGCGAATAAAGAACGCGTGCGAGTCCCGAATGCTGGTTCGCGAACGCGAGTGTCGTCGCGTCCGTTCTGTCGCCGGCAGCGAAAGTTCCTCGTGAATATAGTATTCGAGAGAGTACACCGTCCGGGAGTGTGTTGTCCCCGACACGGATTTCTTTTCGCCCTTTTTCGCTTATTTCCACCTTGCGACGAAAATGACGAGTGCCATGACGATGATACTGTGGCTTGTTACCGTGACGATTGTCTCGACGACGACAACAAACGCGACCGGCCTCAAGTGCGACAGTGTCAGATCCTACTTCGAGAATGAGGGATTCCCGCTCAGCGATATCCCGAAGGAAGCGATTTCATGTGAGTAGATGCGTGAGATTCCTGCGTTTCTCGTGCACAAAATTTGCCTCTCGGTTTTGCGTCCGGAGTGCTGTTTAGATTCGTGTTTGTTTAGTGTATACTCTTCTCAAGATGTTTTTGTTTAACTTGAATGGATATGCTCGTACTTTGGTAAGAACGCTCGCGCTTTGAAAGAGAAAGAAAAAAATAGATCTGCTTGTGGCTTCGCACACTCAGCGCTGAATGCAGGATATGAATGAAAGACGATATAATGAGGGAGTAAATTCGCTCAGTGATGCTCGTTAGTGGAGCATCAGGTATGACTGTGGATACTTATCGAAATACACGATTAATCGGCGGATTGACATTAGTTTAATTTACATAAAAACCGAGATACTTTATGTTAGTTTGCATTTCATTGAATTGCTTGACTGACGTGTGTATGTGTTATGAATTTGTTCTATTTATTGTAGCAGATTAACTTTGCATACGTAGTTGTAAAAAAATACATCTAAAAATAACGCCAAATTTACATAAATCGCAGTAAGTTGAAACTGAAAATTAAGAAACTGAAAGTTAAAAATTGAATTAAAATTGGAGCAGTTAGAGCAAATTGGAGCAGTGACAATTTGCGAGGGGGAATTCCTAGAAAGAAATTATAAATCCAAAATTGTTTAAATTAAAGATTTATATTGAATCGTTCTTTTAAATCGAGTTAGCTCGTGAAGGGTTGTTTTCACAAACGTTTTTCCAAACGTTAGTGACTTTTTTTGTAAACCATGCTTTATGATAAACAATTTGTATTTATATTCCGTTATATTTAATGCGTTGATGACTATTAAAAATATATTTGGTGTAAAAATGGAGAAGTATCTGTAACGCGATGCAGCGCGTAGATTTGTCTCGTCGCGTGTAGCAAAAAAAAAAAGTAAACACGGTAGCGCGCACGGGCGACCGTGTGTCGCGAGAAAAAAGTTGGTGAGTACTCTTGAAACTTCCCGGAATCGGCTCGGTAGAATGACGCGAAGAGAGATTTTCAGCGTGGCTCTTGTTGATCGACGAGAGATCGATCTCCTTAATTTGTCCTGAAAATTCGATTTTAATTACGATGTTCGGGCGCACGCTGATTGGGACATCAAAGTTGAATTTATTCATTGGAGTACGTGAGCCTCTCTCCGACAGTCGGTTTTACCAAACGGGTTTGGCATTTCGGCGGCTGTGAAATCCACGCGAATGATTGGCTGATCACAAGCCGAACGCCAAATCTCTTTATCTCTTCTTCTGTGCTGTATTCACGTTTCGTGCATTTTTTTCAGAGTTGCGAGAATATCAAACTGAATTTATAATACGCTTCTTTTATATTTTTACATTTTGTCATAACATTAGCCTGTCCATCAGAGAGCGATTTACGATCAATGAACGAACGATCGAACAGAAAATTGGGAGTCGTATACACATTTCGTGCGTATCGATGCGATACTCGTTAATATATAGTTATTCGTTTCTAAAGTTGTCATGATTATTTAAGAAATACCTGCTATCTAAATATAGATTTCATTTTTTTTTACTTTTGTCTGATATCTGCGTTTAAATATACGACGGTCAATAAGTTGCATCTTTCTCGTTCTTTTTTGTAAATATGGAGACCGCAGTTCCAAACATATGACAGAGATGCTTTAAATCGATCATTTTTCGGATCTACTTTAAGTATTGATACATGCATCAGATAATAAATGTTGCGAAAGCTTCGATGTTTAAGCATTCAGAAAAAAAATGTCCGCGGAGTCACGCGATCGACTGCAGCCGCCTGAGTGCGGTTTAATCGAAAGAAATTCAAAGAGCACAATTCATATTGTGCGTTATCGAATAGGCAGGCAGACGCTAGATAGATAATGACAGGCTAATATCAGTTGGTTAGTAATTATGGCATACGTAAGCTATAGAACGTTACCGTTGATGTTGCATTCTTCGTTTTTTCTCGGGACTGGTCATTATCGGGCACCAGCTGTTGAGCAAATGGAGGTTTTTTATTCAACGGCGTACTTTGCATACGAATTGTAAAATGGCAATTAACGTTATGCAAGTAATAAGGCTGCGATGAAACGGAGATCTACAAAATTATTCCCGTAACGATTCCGAATCAGAAAGAGTTTCGCTTCGTTCACTTTTGAAAACCAAAAAAATATAAGATTTTCCAGCGCTGTCATCCAGTCGTTCAAGTTCTTTTCATCATTTTTTTCTTGACATGTCACTAAAAAATATGGACGTTTTATATATATTTTTGCTGTTTCTCTTAATAAAACTGCTCCGAAAGCGTACCTTTATTATTCATGCACTTAGTATCTCCTTATTATGAATTTTCGAACCATACTGTGAAAAGAACTCAGGTTAAGTTATATAAAGATAAATCCGGGAAGGTAAGAATGTTATTTTTTTGTTTAAATGGCTTTAGTTGTTCTCAGAATTTGACAAAAAATGTCAAACTTTTAGTCACTATTTTAATGTCTGACAGGTCACTTCTTGTCACCTTTTCTGCTAAAAAACAATCACAATTTCTTTTTATTCCGGTGAAACTGGATGGCAGCACTGCTTTTCAAATAGTTGTCATATTTATATTAATTAAATACGCGTATAAATAATAGGAGAATTCGCGGTTATACAATGTGAGTTAAATTTAAAAAGCTTATTGATATCGAAGAATATCGTTAAAAAATAGTTAAATAATAATTAAAAAAATGAGACTTTATTAATTAGGAACATCGCGATAATCTCCGAGTTACGCTTGATTAGGCTTATTCGTCATTTAGCTAACATCTACTTTCCCGTCTCGTCGGTATTCGGAAATCCTGATGAATCGACGCGATTTAAAATACAGCTCTTTCGGAGGGACGAACAAATTACTTTAAAGGGGAGGAAATGTATTGTGGGGGATGAAGCCGCGTCGGGCACAAAAGCCGCGGTAAAATCAAGCAGAACTCTGGTGGAAGACGCGCGGAATTCTCAGCCGCGCCATTAGTGAAGCTCTCTTTTGCCAACTTTACTTTTCACTCTCATCCACATTTTCGAGGTTACGTCCGACGACCACTTCAAAGGTTGCGCTCCTGACTCGTTTGCATCCTTTTCGCGTAATGGTTGAACTTTCTTGGATCATCCGCGACTTCTATGAACGCGACGATCGATCCCTCTTCAATCTGTATAAAATAAATCTTTCAAAACATCTTTTATTGCAGTACTTATCAATAAATTTTGTAACCTACAAATATTGTTTCAAGTGTCGCGTGAAGCAAAACAAAATTACTTATATAGTAAAAATTGGATTTATATCTTATTTTATACATTTCACAAAAATATTTGACAAGTTATAAAAAAGCTTTCTTCCTCTTTACAAGAATTTAGATTTTTCTTTCTTCGTGATGTTCGCGATTGAAGAATCAAAGCGACATTACTCCGATTATTTTTGTACTATGCGCGCACACACGAAGCAGGAATAAATTGAAAGGTAAGAGATGCAGCGCGTGTGGAGCGTCATAATCATAAATTCCAACAATCCGCGTGGAATCACGATTTATTTCGCGAAACTTCGGCGAGCTGATTTGCGGGGACCGCGACGTGACCGCCGCTGGATTTATGGCCGATGAATTATGCGCTTTGTTCGTTTAGGGGTAGAGAGAACTTCTCCGATGGAACCGGCGAGCGCGGCGAAGAGAGCTAAAGCGAGTAAAATTCCGAGGGACATCCTTGTGCGAAAGATCGACGATCGTGCCGCGGCCGTGATTGCAACTCCTTGTGTATTCGTTGATATACAATTTCCGTTTAATGCATTCTCTAAAAAGCGTCTCGTCAACAATACAACACATATAATTCCTTTTTAGTTTCGTGAATCTTGAACTTTACCGGGCATTTATTAACTCGGTGACCAAATCATGAATTAAGATTCCATCGAAGTAAAGTCCACCTGTAATTATCTGGAGAACGTGCTTTCGTTGTTTATCTGTAACACGACACCTTTTTTCACTTTAAGCGATAAATCACCGCATCTCTGGAGGCTTCATTACGATAACTCGACTAATAAACGAGCGTGAACCGTCTCTGATTCAGATTTCCGCGTAGAAAATCGCGTTTACTCGCAGAATGCTCGATGCGAATTTTCGCAAAAACCCCGCGAAATGTCGATTCGAACAACCTGCCCCGCGGTATTCAACGTTCTTTGTGAATAGAGCGGTGATCATTCTCCGGCGTGTTTAACGCGTGTCGATCGACCACGGCGAGTAATAAAAGCGAGAGTGTTGAGTTCGTGTGTATCCTTCCTGCGGCTTCGTTAGCGCGTCTTGTGCGCCGCGAATACGCTTGAATTTATGGACCTTCGGAATTCGCGTAGAGGCGTTAATGACAAGTCAATGACAAGCCACCCGTAAGCTTTTACGTATTCGTTCTCCCCTCTCGCGGTGGTAAGCACTCTCGGTAGGAAATCTCTATTTGCGAAGACGCGCGTACTCGCGTCGCGCTCGCAAAATCCGCGACTCACGCTATCTCGCACCACAATCAAACACGCTCTCAGCTGAGAGAGAGAGAGAGAGAGAGAGAAAATGCCAGCGTACCTGCTCGCGCGAGCGGAAGATAAGCGGCGTTTACGCATCGCCGGCACTGTCTGTCGCACGGCGCGAAATTATTCCGATGAGAGGGCGAAAATATTCCGTGCACACGCCAACACACTCGGATGTGAACACGATATATTCAATTGCACGCGTTAATTTCGCGATTATTATCCGGTCTCTCCTCGTTATTAAAGCAGTCATTACATGTAGCTTTTTCTCCTCAGAGAACGAAAATGTCTTAGACGTTACGTGGCATGTGTATCCTATGCGTACGTCCTCGGTGTTATTCCGAAATCTTAATTCGCCGTGTAAGTACATCGAGTAGGTACAATCGACGTTCGATTCGCGTCGTTAAGAATCATTTTTAACGCATTAGCCTCGCAAATGCCGAGATTTACGGTGATAGATAAGTGGATTTGTCGTACG